AAAAACCCAAAAAAACCCCCCTGCCAAACTATGGGAACTGTCCTCAGGCAAACAAAGGCAGACAAACAGAGCTGAGCTTTCATCAGAACTTGGTATATCTCTATCAAAACCCCCCTGACCTGTTTCTTGCAGCCTCCTTGTTTGGGGCTGGTTTCCAGGGTGAGAGGTCTGAAGAGCAGAACCATCAGTGGAGCTGTAGAGGAGAAGAGGTGTCGATACCAAAAAGCAGAGGTCAAATATGAGGGCAAGTGAGCTGGTCTCAATCTTGTTGGCTTGTCCTTCAATGCTATCTGTGAAGTATTTCTTCAAAAGAGCAAACTTGGGTTTACAGCACTTAGCTCGTGGTCACTTAGAAAAAGAATTGCCCAATTTCATCAATAAAATACAAACCCAAGTGGGTCCTAATACATCTTTAAGGTTCTGGATGCTTTGAAGATTCAGCTGGAGAGGGTGCTGAGATATCTTGTCTAGACTGAAAGGTTGGACCAGATTATCCTTGAGGTCCTACTAATTCTAAGAAAGGATGAAAGGCTGCAGCTCTTTTGGTTTGCTTCTAATTGAATCTTCTTTGCTATAAAGACTAATTTTTTATACATAAAACTTGGGGAAATTTTTCATTACTCTAGCCAAAGTTGGATAATTGTTGCTGTGAAAAGCCATATGGTTTTGATTAAAATTTCCATATGCCATTTACTGAGACAAACTACCCAGTCTTCAGGGGCTTTGGATCATTTCAGACTGTTTAAGCTTTTATTAAACCACATTTGAGTTTCAGAAGGAGGTCATTTGATGCAGTACCCTACCCAGACTGAAAATCTGATGGGGTCCCCAGCTGCTGTTGGCAACTTCTGGACTTTTGAGTGGTTTTGAGGAAGAAGCATCTGTACCAGGGTGCCATCACTCACCAGTACCTGTTTAAGCTGTGTCACTGGGTGTTAAGGCAGAGTTCTACTGGAGACTACAGAAAAATCTAGGAAAAGACATTGAGGTTCACATTAAAGGGTGTTTGTTGGCACACCCATGCTAATAGCATGTTCCACTCTACTGCATTTCAGCACCAGTTGTCAAGTTTTTGTGCAAATATGGCCTAATTAAGTCTCTTTTATGACACACAGAGTTTAAGTACTCATCTTTGGAAATGTGCAAATGTTGTCACAGAGAACTTCAGTGATTTTCCCAAAGTCAGGCAGTCACTAGTATGGTGGTGGTGCCTACAGCTTTATACTCACCTAGGGCTGGTAATTCTCATTGAGAAATGATGCTGTGGAGATGAAGAAGCTTAAATGACATCCTCACTCATTAAATGAGGTCTGAGTAACAGTGTTAATTGTGATAACCTGAGTGTATCCCTGCTACACCTCCCTGGGAGATTCTTCTTTGCACTACAAACGTTACTGATCACATCCTCATGTGGTGCTGGAGTTACTAGAGCTTAAACAATTATTTTTCCAGTTTCAGCTAAGTCACTGGTTAGTATTGTGAGCTCCAAATAAGCTTTGGCAGGACATTGTCAGAATTAGAAAGCATTAATATTTGCATTCCTCAGTGGTTTCTCTTAATTTTAACAAGTAATTTCTAAATAGAGAATGTAAAACTTAAATAGGCCAATAAACTACTCTGCAAGTGTATTATTTCCTAACAGTCGGACAAATATCTGATCCTGATTAATTGAAATCACATCTTTAAAATAAAATCCTCATCTGTGAGTTATTCCCTAGCCTAGGATTTCTCATGCAGAGGGGTCCTGCTTTGATTATGTTAGCCAGGAGCTTTGGGATTGGGAGCAAGGCAAAGTGGAACCCAATATTCATGCCAAGGGAGACACATACACCCAAACCATTTATGCTGCAATTTAGAGTCACTCTGCAATGCTGAGGGTTATTTTTTTTCCTCATCTTTTGCTGTCTTTTGATATCAAAAGTATAGAGAATAATTTCTTAGCTTTCTTAGTTTTACCTCCATCTGAGTTCAGCAGTACAGAATTTCAGGGCAACATTCTGCTTTTTTTTAGGGAAAGGTTTTGTCCACTTAGCCTGGGAAAGCTGAATGAACTTCTTGAATCCACACAGCACTGATCTGGATGCTTTGTAACCATTCAGCAACACTCAGGGCACTTCTGATGCCTTGAGAAAGATTGCAGGGTGGTGTTAAAATGAGGTTTCTTATGAATGAAATCTGAGTGGTGTTATTATGGGGGAAGCAGCTCAAATGGTAAAGTGCTTGCTTAGCATGTGAGAGGTAGTGGGATCAATGGCTTCATTCTCAGGACATGGTTCAGAGGTCATGGGAGTGTTGGACTTGATGATCTCAGGGGTCTTTTCCAGCCTTATTGATGCTATGATTGTATTGTTAATAGAGGTTTTTTCCAGCCTTATTGATTCTATGATTGTATTGTTAACTCAAGTGACTAATTAGGTGTTGCAAAAATGAATTTGAAGTGTGGATGGATGTGCTCTTGATCTCCAGGCATCAAGGATGCTGAACTTGCTGCTCTCCCACTGCAAGTTTCACAATGCACGAGCATAATCTGCCTAATTAGCTTGATGAGACATGAGCCTTTCTTATAATTATCTTAATCTTGATAGTTTACTTGCATCCAGATTTTTACCACGTGCATGAGGCTTTTCAGAATCAACAGGTGACTTTCAAAGCTTGATAGTCTGCCCTGTGGATGATAGTGATGAATGCTCTGCTTTGTTTGCTGCCTCCAGTTGATTTTGACCATTCTTCCATCATTTCCTAGTTCATCCAAGCAGAGACTTCTTTTCCTGGTAGCAATCCTTCTCTTGTCATAAATATATAGCTCCCTACTTTATCAACAAATAGGGTTATTTATTCCTTGCAAAAAAAATATCTCAAGGACTAGGTTTTCATTTAAATTATTGAGTTGTGCATGTTCTCTCCATACTTTGGAAATCAAGAGTTGCTGGATCACCAAGCAGGTGGCTGTTTCTTGTGTTTAGTAATGAAAGACCTTTCCCATTCCCTCCCCTGTGATTAACAGAAGAATTCCCTGGAGCACTGTATAAAATAGATTTAAACACGCAGGCTCAGATTTGAGGCAGTGTTTCTTTCATCTGTTCCAAAGCAGGCTTCTGTGTGGCTTTTTTTTAAGATTCAGGCTTGAAAAGGGAATTCTGTGTAATCTTTACAGTGTTTTGGGTATCTCTGTGTACATGGCCTAATGTTGTGTTAGTTCTGTCAATGGGGAGGAAGATATAAATAGCTAAATAAAGATGCAGACAACTTTCCATGAAATATTAGTTGAGATTTAACAATACTTCTGCAATTTTCTTTCTAGTGCAGATATATATGTATATAAAATATCTTCTTTAATGACTGGGACTTGGTTCACATTTACTTTTCACATGACTTTCTCATCTCTGACCTGAGGCTGGGAAGCTCCACCCTTTGTTCTCTCCCTGTACCTACACCAAGTATGACCAAACAACTCACACTGATGAACCTGCTGTTAAATGAATACCCAGGTTCAATTTGGACCAGTTTTCATCTCAAATATAGTTTTGAACCTCCTGTGTAAACTCATTTTGCCCAAAGGGTTGGATAATGCAACAGCCTTAGCACCTAAAGCAAATGGCAACAGCATCTTGGTTACTCTCCACTTCTACTGTAGTTCCACTTTTGCCTGGATTTGGTCCTGAAGTTGACTATAGCAAGAAGGGTCCTTGAAAAAAAGGTTTCTAAAATGAAACAGTGACTTCTTCTCATTTTTATTTATTTTTAATTATGCATGCTGGTGCTTCCAGAAAACATCTTCAAGAGGGGATAAAAATCAAGTCTTAATTTTTTCATCCTTGTAACCTTCTAATGATGTTCCTAGTGGTTCCTGCTGTTCAATATTTATTCCCTGTGTGTTTTCTCTGGTTCCCAACTGCACTGACAACAGGTTTGTAATCACCAAACCACAGCTCAGCTACACTGAAAGGAAAAAAAAAAGAAAATGGAAAGGCAAGAAACTGTTTAAGATAAAAGGCTGCTGAGGTGATGCAGTGTATTAGTGCTCCTGCGTGCTGCTGATCGATTCCTGGTGCCACTGCTCAGCTCCCAGAGAGTCACTTTGCTGCTGAAGAGCAAACTTCTTGAATTCAGCGTGCCAGGAGAGGGGAGGGAGTTGTGTTTTTGCAGTGCCTGGCCTCTGAAGGAGAGGAAAAGGAGAGGAAAAGGAGAGAGGTGGAAGGAGGAATGTAATTTAATTTAATTAAAGCACAGTGTAGCTAACACACAGCTATTACAGGAGGCTTCCTTATGGGAAGGGAAGGGTTTCTACACATGGGTTGCAAGGGCATCAGTAACAAGTCTCCTAAAGGGGAACAGAGCTGCCTCGTAACATAACTGAAGGTGGTGATTGTTTAAAGCTGTAATTCTTCATAAATTCATCAAACACAGCCAGCAGCATCAGAGTTTTCTCTAGGTGTGTCTTCTGCCCTGGGTGAATCAGCACCTTTTCCCCCTTACTGGCCTTGCAGCCTGTGGAGACATTTTCACTGCTTCTGGTGGTTGCATCCACAGGAACCTCACGCTGTCCACCCGGGTCCCACCAACCCGCTTGCCAAGCTGATGCTCACTTTGTTTCTCTGTCATGCAGCAAAGCCCTATCAGAGTTTTCTCTAGGTGTGTCTTCTGCCCTGGGTGAATCAGCACCTTTTCCCCCTTACTGGCCTTGCAGCCTGTGGAGACATTTTCACTGCTTCTGGTGGTTGCATCCACAGGAACCTCACGCTGTCCACCCGGGTCCCACCAACCCGCTTGCCAAGCTGATGCTCACTTTGTTTCTCTGTCATGCAGCAAAGCCCTAATGAACCTCTGGTGGTTGCATCCACAGGAACCTCACACTGTCCACCCAGGTCCCACCAACCCACTTGCCAAGCTGATGCTCACTTTGTTGCTCTGTCAAGCAGCAAAGCCCAAATGAACCTTCTCTCCTCATGAGGAAAAAAAACACTACACTCCCTTTAATTGAGTTCTTTGTCTCTTGGCAGATCTTGAGAACTTCAAAACCAGAACAAGAAGCACGGTGTCCGTCCGTCAGGGCCAGGGCATGGTTCTGCTCTGTGGTCCACCACCACATTCTGGAGGTAAAGCAGTTTCCTTCTCTTGTTTTCAGCCCTCTGCAAGTATTTGGAAGGGTTTTGTTCTCAGGATATGTTTTGGGAAGTTTACAATGGCACACCTGAAAGGAGGAGGCTGTGGTGGTGCCATCTTGACTGAATTGTGGTGCTGAGGGACGTGGGTTACTGGGCAGTGCTGGGCTAGCAGTTGGAGTTGGTGACCTTAAAGGTCTTTTCCAACCTGAATGATGACATGAGTGTACAAATGGGTCATGCTGGGTGATTGTGTTGACACTGGGAGATCCCCAGTTTGGTGTTAAGAAGAGAGAAAAAACTAAATTGGCTGCACTTAGGAGGTGAACTCATGCAAAATAAAGCAATAGGTGCATAGATAGAAGGCATGGCCAAGCTCTTGTGCAACTTTTAGAAGCCTTTCCATATGTAGCCTGGGTGTGTCTCCTCCAAAAAGGTTGAGGATTAATGGCAGAGCCACTTTTGTGCATCATCTTTTCATTATTTATATTTTTCACACTCTTATTTTTTATCAATGTTTTTATCTCCGAGGTACTTGAGGTCTGTTACTAGTTGTCCAGGTCTCACATGATGATTTGTTTCTGGAATGGCAATATAAATTCTTCCTACTGTTTTTATAATAATAAATAACATGGGAAGTTTATTTTGGTGCACTTTGCTGCAAAGAGGAGGGTGTAAAGGTTTAGAAAACACAAACCAATTCTTCCAGTTGAGCACAGATGTGGTTTAAACATTCCAGTCCTGTTTGTGGGTTGACTTCCTGAACATGTGTTGTCCTGTTACATTTATATTTAAAAAAAAAGCCCCAAAATGTTGGTGCCATTAACCACCACGATGGGCAGCCAGCTGCTGTGGCTGGCTCTTGCCTCAGGGCTCCTTTGGTACCTCCTGAACGAGCAGTCAGCTTTTGCAGATCTCTGTCCCTTTTAAAGAAATTTCCAATCCTCTTTTGAAATCTGTCTGTCCTCATCAGTGGGATGAAAATTGCCCGGCGAGATGTTTGCTGTTAGGCTGCTTTTATTGCTGAGATAAAAGGAGACAAGTGCTTCTGGAGCTTTTTGGCTTGTGTCTGACCAGCTGGCAAATGTAGGTACCCAGGTAATTTATTTGGGTAGGGCCTTGCTTATCTTTTGGCTTCAGAGGCCTTTTTTTCCTTTTAGTTCAGAGATTATCAGCAGAGTTTCAATAACAATGTTTAATTGATGCCTTCTGAGTGTCCAAGGCCAGGCTGGATGGAGCTTTGAGCAACCTGGTCTAGTGGGAGGGGGCCAGGGCAGGGGGTTGGAACTAGATGATCATTAAAGTCCCATCCAACTCAAACCATTCTGTGATCTCAGGTTTCTGATGTTCATTACTTGAAGGTGGTTCTTATATCTGTGATGTCAAGCCCACAAATTTACTCATTATCACAGCATCTAACTTGGATGAGAGTGGCTCCTAGAGAGTTAACAATACTCCAAAATTACATGTGCCCTGGTCTGCATGGAGGGATCTGGCCCCTCAGCCTATGCAGGTAGGTCTCATAGCCACATCTGATGAGGAAGCTGCCAAAGCTGGATATTGAAAACCACTGAGGACTGGTTGTGGCTCAGCCACGAGCTCATCTGCAGGGCTGTGGGTGAAACATCATCCCCAGCTTCACTTCTGTAGGGGGGGAAAAAAGGAAAAGGGGGGAGATTTGGAACAGAAATACTTGGTGATCCTTAAACCTCATACATCCAGATTCACGTGGAGATAAGGGAGGAATCATGCATTTGTCTTGGTGTCCTTAGCAAAGCTTTGCTGTGCTGTTCCTGAGAGTTTTTGGGTCTGGTGTAAGAAATCTCTGCAGCACGAGCACCTCGCGTGGCTTGTGTACACCATAAGGAAATTGTGCTGCATTTGTTCTGGTGATTCAGGGGAAGGTTTTGGTCTGGAGTATGTATTATTGATACAAAAACATTCCAGAAAGGTGCTGGTGTGTTTTCCAGTTTGGGTTCAGAATGTGGGATAACACATCTTAGGGTGAGCAGGAGGTGAGCGTGTTCCTGGCACCCAGAAAAGCAGAAGACTGAAGGGTAATTATTTCCCTCAATCATTTGGATGAGAGATGACTTCCTACATGACCAACATCTATGCCCTGCTCTATTCCAGCTAGAAAATTACCTTAATTGTAGCCAGATCCACAATTAGTCTGAATTGATGCTATTATGATCCTGTAACTAAGCTGAGCTGGAGTTACGCCGCTTGTTGTTCTCTGGTTTGCATAGAGAGGGTTTGATGGAAAATGAAAACAGATCCAGTTAATTCAGACTGAGGCTCTTGTTCTGCAGGAATTAATCTTCTCCGTGGCAATATTTTCTGTTATTTTCCCTTCCTCTTAGGTTAGAAATAAGAGTTTTAAGAGTCAGCAAAATTAATGCTTCTCAGTCACGTGCATCACGTTTCCATTGGCCAACTGCCCGTCTCCCAGTGTAATCAGAGCTCTTTGGGCTCTAGCAATCACTGCACAATTAGCACAGCTATCTCCTCTTCCAGCTCTGGGCAGATGGAGGTTCATAAGAGAATATCAGATGTCCCTGGGAAGTAGCTGGGAAGCTGTCATGTTTCATGGGCAGCTTCCATCCCCAGGGCTGCGTTGGCAAAGCAAAGCCGTAGAGGTCGGTTCCTTCCAATCCCCCCACGTCCCACTGCTGGGACAGAACATTGCAAGTATTTAATGTAGAGCAACAGGAACAAACGTTGAGGCTAGGAGTGAAAAATCACATCTCTCCTTGAAAGTGTTAGTGGTGTAAAGACAGAGGAAATGCAATTACTTATTTGGGGGATTGGATTAGGGCAGCAGACGTAACTTCATCATCCTTGCAAAAAGTGCCTGGGGACATTAATGAGCAAGGCTTCAGTGTGGAACTGTCAGGGGGGAAAAAAATACCTTTTTTAAAAATTAATTTTTTACTTTAGGATCTGTTCTGCATTGAAAAGGACACCTTAAAAATATATATATATATGTAAAAGAGAAACTGTGCGATCTGAGGGGGGTTGTTGCTCTGAAGAGGTGAGGCAGGAGTTTTTATGTCCTTTTTCCAGCTAGGGAAATAGGAAATGAGAAGGGAAAAATTCCCCATCTCAATGTTGTGTCATTGGGTCATCTCAATCTTAAAAACTGTGGATTTTATTAAAGAAAAATCCCAACTTGCATCCAGACCTTTATCCTTTCAGCTGGAGTTCACTTTGCTACTTGGAAACATCCATATTTAAAGAGCTGACAGCTAAAAGTGAAATTACTTTAGCCTACATACATAAGTTGTTGAGAGGGTTTTTTTTCCTCCTAAAGATGCCAAATAAGGAGCTTTCTACTATTCAAATACTGCAAGAAATTCATCCTGAAAATCAGTCCAAATGATTAACAGGCATTTTCAGCATCATAAAATTCCCTGTGTATGGCTTGCAGAGAACAACGTGGGCTTTGCTGTCTGGTCCAAATTTTTAGTTTAATGAGAGTTGGACGTTCAGCATATGAACCTAGAATTTAAACTCCCCCCCACAGTTCCCCAAGATGAAAACAAACTGTGTGTGTCTTGCAGCAGGGTTTCAGCAGGGAGCTGCTGCTTTGTCAGGTCAGTGAATCCTGGTGTTACATTTTGTTAAGCAGCATAATGATGCGATCGCCTCCTGGGATGAAATGCTTGCTGGAAATTTGGGAAAATAAATGTTCAGTGGGAGCTCAGGAAGTCGCTGGACTGAAAACCAGAATAAATGCAAATCAAACGTTCGCTTCTCTCGTGTTTTCTGCCCTTGGAGCAGTGGATGTCTGAGCCCTCCAACCAAATCCTGCTGTATTTATAGAGCCTTGTCTGGTAGAAGTTTTCAGCTCTTCTGTTTATTTTTTCCCCTCCATTTGTTCACTTGCATGCACTAAATCAGTGTAAGAACTAAAAGCTGGCAGTGGGCAGATTCAGGCTGGATGTGAGGAAGAAGTTCTTCCCCAGGAGAGTGGTGAGACCCTGGGATGGGTTGCCCAGGGGGGTGGTTGAGGCCCCATCCCTGGGGGTCTTTAAGGCCAGGCTGGAGGAGGCTCTGGGCAGCCTGATCTAGTGGGAGGTGTCCCTGCTCATGGCAGAGGGGGTGGGACTGGGGGATCCTTGTGGTCCCTTCCAGCCCTGACAGATTCTGATCTGTTTTAGCAGAGGACTTTAGAGACCTAATGGCTCAATGGTTGGACTTGATGATCTTGGAGGTCCCTTCCAACCTAAAGGATTCTATGATTCTAACTAGAAGAGAAACCTCCCCGGGTCGTTAGCATGTTCCTGAGATAATTACCCTGCATAGGAAGGGTTTGCCCTCATTATTTCCACTGCTTTTTTAATTAGAAGCCTAACGATGGTCGTGTGGTGACCATCCTACCTGTGAAGCTCTCCAGACAAAAGAACTTAAGAGTAAACATTGCTGGAGGAGCATGGCACTCAGGGCCTATGTAACAGCACCATGAGCAGCTGTAGTTCCATATGTAGACAAGAAAGAACAGTCAGAAATCTTAAAATGATCTATGTAACTAAAATTTGGCTTGGGTTTTGTTGCAAGAAACATGAGGATCCCCGTTGCAGCCACTGGCCTCTACCACGGTGTTAACTGGGCAGTTCCTGGAAACTGAGTCCCAGGAACAGGTTTGGAAGTGGGAGGAACATCAGAAAGTTTCCATGACTTTTTTTTGGTGAGACTAGTTAAGGTGTCTCAGCATGTCTTTGTCTGACCTCTGTAATGTGGATGCTGTAAGACAATGCTGTATTTCTGTCCATTTTCAAAGCCCTGCTAGATCAATACCATCTGCTGGCACTCTGCAGAAGAGCTGTAGGAGTTCATGGATTGGGGAGGGGGGGTTGCCAGCCAAAAGGAAAAAAAAAAATACAAAAAAAAAACACCCAAAACTTTGTTTTTTTCTAATTTATTCATTAAGATAAACAAAAAGTCCCCAAAACCAAAGCAAACACTCACTTGAGTTTCTCAGGACTCTGAGT